GAATGTGGAGGAGGGGGGGGGGGGGGGAGGGGGGAAGGGAGAGATTGGAAGATATAGAAGGTTTTAAAAATATTGGAAAAAATGGCTTCAATAAATCAAAACTCACTTTTTAAAAAACAATTCTTTTTGTTACTATCTTTTTTCACTTCAATTTGAATATGATTTTAGCAGCTGACTAACAGCTCAGAAATGGTAAGAGCTAGAATAATGTGTTGCTTTTTGAATGCTGGGATTTAAGCCTTCATCTAGTATAACAATAAGACCTTTTAAAATAAGAATTCTTCTGATGGTAAAACAATTTATAATTGAACTTATAAGAGGAAGAAAGATAGTGTCAAAATCATCTTGATACACTAAAGTGGAGAATCATTGATTGAATAAATTTCTCTCCAATACATTTAGTTCTTTCTTTTTTATTTTTTATAGCCTTCACAGCCAAGAAGTCGTGGCTGGAATGATAGAACTGCTAGTCAGAAGCTGTATTGTGTAAATAGCATTTGGAGCAGAGACTATAAGCCGGATCATAATACAGACGTTACCACATGTAGCACACATTTCCTAGAGAAATCAACTACCAAAGGCATTGAGAAGATAATTAGTATTAGAGGCCTGAAACTTCCAAGCAAGGAGCTACTAGTCAAAAGATCAAGAAGTGGTATGTTTCTTTACCCAAAAATTATCAGGACAAAGAGGAAAAGGGAGAACCATTTTTAAAATTGAGTTGAAGACCTGAAGTTGAAAACACCATCTGTGTTGCCACCCTGTTTCTTCCCCTGAGCATCCCTCGCTCCCTCCATTTCCTCCCTTAGCTCTGGATGCTCTGAGGAAAGGGGAGGAGTTGCTGAGCGCAGGGGCTGGCATTTCCTAGTGAGTGCTCCAGCCCAGGAGCACCCACAGGAATGTCCCATAGCCAGGTCGCAGATGGTGCTGAAGTTCAGCTCATAGAGGTTGAACCTATATTATATGTGCTGCTATCCTTACATTACATCTCCAAGATCTTTGAGCATTCTCTGTCTATTCCCACAGCCTAAGTGCTCTTTCTTCCATTTTTCCTGTGATATTCTTCATTCTGATTTCTTCCCCTTTTTTCCACTGAATCTTCCCTTACTTGGGTAACTGATGAGCTATTGCTAGCTAAGTGAAAGGGGCACTTCTCTGTTCTTATGCTACTTGGTATATGTGATTTCTTCAGGGGAGTTGTCTTCTCTTCTTCAGCCTCTTCCAATCCTCAGCCTTCTTTGAAATCTTGGTCACTTTCTGCCTTGACTGCTGTGACATTCTTCCCTTCAGCTTCTCTCATTTCCAGGTTATCAAAAAATTTGCTTACTAGGCAGACTTACCACTTTTTGCATCTTTTTATAGACCTGTTTTTGCTCACTGTCCTCACTTTGAAGGCCTGACATAAACTTGTCATGTTTAAATATCATCCCTGTATATTCCATGTGCTTATGCTGCATCTTTTGATCATGTTCCACATCTCTCAGTGCTGTCTATATTGATCACTTTTACCCTTTCTTGATTTAGACACTTTGTAATGTTTGGAACAGGCTTTCAGTATTTGCTATCCAAGTATGTGACCTCTTTTTCTCTTCAATACCATTTCTTTCAGTGATCCTTCCTACCTTGCTTTCCTCACTAATAGTTTCCTCATGACCTCTTTTCTAAATCATTGTCCACTGTGTCAGTTTATATACTCAGTCTGAAATGTTTCTTACTCTGGTACAGTACTTAGTACATTATAAATGGTTAGTGGTGGTAATAGTAGTAGTAGTCTTGGAATTGTATCTTAATATGATTTGTGAAACAGGCCACTTTGTAGTACATTCATTGTATAAGAACATATACTAGACGAGTATACTAGTCAACATTTGTTGTAAAGATGGCAATATCCTAAATGCCTACACCATTCTTAAATTAACACCCTTTTGGATTAGTTAGAATAGTAAGCAGCATAATACTTGCTCGGTTTAGCTCATTTCTTAATAGCCAGGAGAGTTCGTTCTACAGAGCATTTCTACAATTGATATTAAAGTTTATGAAAAATGTATTCTTTCTATTTAGAAGAGTTGTCGGATGGAGACCTGTTGAGTCAGTATTCGTTTTCAAAAGCAAAAAAGCCCAAGAAAGAAAACAGTGAAGATGGTGAGCCACAGAAGTCTATCTCTGCAGTGTCAATGATTCGTGCTCCAGGGGACTCTTTAAGTAAACAGAGCGCAAACAGCCAACCTAAAGTCAGGAACAAATTTGCTTCCTTTCTGCAGAAGAAAAATGAAGAGAATGGTGCTATTGTTGTTCCAGGGACTAGAAGCAGGCATGTTTAAACCACTGTTTTAATGAGTAATATAATATAAAAATGTCAAGATTAAATTGTCATGGAATATTAAGAATTTAACATTGCAGTTTTCCTACTATTATTGTTCAGACTGTGTATTGCAATACTACCTCAAGACTCCCAGTGGAGATTGGAGGCCACTTGTATTAGACATGGTACAAACACATAACCAGAGACAGTTCTCTTCCCAAAGAACTTAAAACATTAATAGATGTACAAAAGGCGGGAGCAGAAACAGTTGAACAAAAGCTGACTTTCCCAGAGTCAAACAGCAGATGAGGATTGAAACCAGAAATTGACCCCAGATGTCCTGCCTATTTGAGCAGTGGACTTATGTGATACGTATTAACTGCATTTAGGGATGCCATGTTATCTGAATACGTTTCAGCTCTTTGATGAATTCATTGGTTTGTGGGATTCTGTTGAAAAATGGAAAATCCCATTTAGCTTTGGTTTCCTATTTAAATTTCTTCATTTTAAGGTTGATTTTTTTTTTATATGTGAGGTTAAAGGTATATTGATGCCAGTCCAAATTCCAGTATTGTCTTCCATAGGCTTATAGTGTGCTGACTAGTTAAGGTGAGTATAAAATAGGACAACGCAAGGATTCTGTCTCCCAGAGAAGTCTCATGGAGGCAGGCTACCCCTAAAGCCTAGTCGTTCCGACTTTCTAAGGTTTATTTGCATCTGCTTGCGCACATTTCTTAAAGTAGACATGTAGCTGCAGTGAACCGGGATAACACATCTGATGCTGGGCTTTATTTCTGTATTTGTATGATTATTTCCTTCTGTTAATCCTGGAAAGGAAGCAGAAGTCGGCCTAATATAATAGGAGCATATAGTTACATGTCTGGTTTTTATTGTAAATACAGAGTATGACAAGACTGCTATAAAACAGAAATACTTTTCTTTTATCAATGTTCTGGCTATAAGGCTACAACTACACTGAAACATTGTTTGGGGATACTGGAGTATTCTGAAATAGCTATCCCGCATCTTCACAGCAAGCCTGTCATTTTGGGCTCACTATTCCAACGTCCCTGTAAACCTCATTCTACAAGGAGTAAGGGACATTTTGGAATAGCCCTTTATTTCAAAATTTGGCGCTGTGTAGACAGTGCCAAATGACGAAATAAGCTACTTTGAAATAGCATCGAAATAAGATATGCAATTTAAGGAGCTCAAAGTTCACATCTTATTTTGAGTTCTGGTGCAATGTAGATGCACCCTTATGGACTACAAATGTAAAGTATCTTAGAAATTGATGGTATTTAGTTTCCAGGTTATGCAATAACTTTTCCAAAATAGCAGCAGTGTTATACCAGGAATAGAAGCAATTAATCCTGGAAGAGTATATTTAGTACCTACTTGATTCTGAGCTTTGCAAACAGTCTCTTCTTTTTTTTGTGCCTCTGTTATGCATAACATTTATATATATGCGTAACTTTATGCATGAGTAGTCCTATTGAAGTCAATGGATCTGATGATTAAGTATGCACATAAATGTGTGCATGGTTGTCTGTAATGAAGCTGGGAATTAACCAAGATCTCCTGAGTCTGTGTCATGTCTTAACCCCAAAAGCAGTCACAGTCTGCCAATCCCTGCAACTTCTGCAGCACGAGGGTGGATCTTAATCTAGCTAAGAATGTGGATGATTGTCAGTAGGTCCTTCTTGGAGCTTACCCAGTGTTGTTGGGGTCAGGGCATGAGAGAGGAGGTAGACCTACTCTGAGAGGAGTGTGATGCGGCAGTGGCCTTGCTTGTTTGCAAACCTCACTTGAGCTCTTCCTCAAAATGCAGATTAGCATAGTTCCAATAGGTGCTGAAGGAACAGGATGCATGAAAAGGGCAGGCAGTGTTTTGGTATCACTGCTACTTCCATTGGGCTAGAACCTATAAAACTGTAAATAGGACTTCCAAGACAAAATTGCTGGGTGCAGATAACTATTGACTGTGAAAATAAAATTTCATTTGCAAAATAACTTGTCTATTTTCATTTCTTTATTCCTTGTATCTTTCATTTATATGTGTTAGGTTCTTTTGCCATGACACTCACATGCCTGATAGTGCAACAAAGAATGAAGCTGCCCAACCACCACGGAATGTTGAGGTGGATTGTCAGGCTCAGGAAACGAAAAGTATAACCGAAGATCCTGTTCCTCCGTGTTTGGAGACTGAGAAATTTACAAGAACTATCTCGTCATCCCCTGTGGAAATACAGAGAAGTTGTTTCAGTTGGTCTGGAAGCCTTAGTGAGAGTCCTGGGACACCCAGCCCATCTCCTGGTGTGCTGCTGTTACAGCAGTTTCATCGACAAAGAAACGATCAAGTGGTGTCCCAGGGAGGTGAGGTATCTGGATTACATACTGTCAGCAAAGCAGCAAGTGATGAGTCAGATGAAGAATCCTCCCCCTTACCGGAAATGGACTGCTCTTCACAGTCTCAAGGGTCTAGTGAGCTGTCAGAAAACAGCGCGGACTCCTCAAGAATATTTCAGGTGTGTAGCAAAGAGGTGGAAGTAACAGTATTATCTTTGTTTCAGTTCAGCGGTACTAGCCGTATGGGTTAATTCATCAAGATTTAGGGTACTATTTTCAGTACTCTGTCAGATTTGCAAACGGTTCATGTTAATTACAGTAGTTTTTCATCAGACTGCAAAATAATACTCTAGGGATATGTTAATTTCTAATGACAAAAGCTATTTGTATGATGAAAGCGTCTGTACAGCATGAACTGGCATATTCATTTAACATTTGACTATCTGTGAGTCAGTCCTATTTTCATACATTCTCAGATTCTAAGATGGGAGGGACTGTTGTGATCTAGTCTCATTCTTACAACACAGGTTACAGAACTTCCCCAAAATAATTCCTAGTTTTAGTTTATATTTTCAGTTTGCACATTGCTGCTCATGCAAGGAGTAAGATTAAGAAGAGTAATGCACTGAGATGTCTGAATCTGTTTACCAATTGCTGAAGAAGTCTCTTTCAGTGTATGTCAGTTTACACATTATTGCTTTGTGAAAACAAGTAGAGGTTCTCAGGAAAGTTTTTAAAATGTTGCCAACTGAACATGTGTGTGGGAGAGAGCACACATGCACATATATAGTGATACATGTAAAACAATTGTTTTAGGTTATGGAAAAGTTTTAAAATCAAAGTGGTGTAAAATATTATTTTTGTCCCAAAGGAATCTGACTGCAGACTAAAAGGAAGTGATGATCCAAGTTCTTGGAGCTCTCCCCTATTTTCTGCTACTTGTACAGAAAGGAAACATACACCCTTAAGGAGCAAGGTATAAAATGTCTTTAATTTTAATGTATAGTCCATTGAATTTTGAAGACTAAAGTCTTGGCTAAACCATTACATTCACTTATAAGACTTTAGTTGGGTTCTGTTTCAGGCATTAATATATGCTAGCCAGAGTAGTCATGTGAACTCTCCTCTTACTTGTTACTCCTGGTGTTCGTCCATACTATGAATGCAGTTGAAATAGGAATTCTGGTTATAACCCAATGTTAGAACTATTAACATAGTCACAGTTTACTGTGGAATCTTAACTATGTTACTATTAACCATGTTCCTTCACTAAAGCCTAGGACATTTCTATGATTTTAACTTGGTTTAAAGAACATTAAGTTATTGTGGCTGCAATTTGTAATATACATAAATATACAATATATAGTTGCAAACGAATATACAAGCATTCTATAAACAGACTTTGCTTGGTTTCACTGAGAAGTGCAAATAAGACCATACGTGTTTTGCTTCCTCTGCACGCCCTCTACCCCAGCCAGAAAATTACTTGCAAGGTATCTATGGGTAAAATAGACAGACTTAGTTTTCACTAATTTTTAGCAAGAGATTGTTTTATAAACATTAAAAAATAGTATGTATTCATACACCACAACAGTGCTGCATGTGTTCCTTATAATAATAGTGACACCTTGTGGTTACTGGGTTGCTTTCCATGTAAAGAAATCTTAATTTTTTCTTTACCTTCTAAATTATTCTCTACTTGCAGACTTGTCCAGCATTGCCTGGGTCCTTCAGGGACTTTGGGGATGGTGGGGAGGTTCATACGACCAGAGGTCAGGGGTCTGTTCTCTACACCCCTAGATCCCTTCCCCCGCCAGGGGCCTGTTGTCTCGTCTCTTCATCCCTAGCCTACCAAGGGCCTGTTGTCTTGCCCCCAGTGGTACTGCAGCCAAGGGTCAGTAGGGAGGGAAAAGGGTTTGGAGCAGGGGAGGCTACTTATCAGTGTGCTGCCAGACAAGATGGTAGAACCCCAGTTCTGCTGGCCACTCCCTTACTCCCTTGGGGGTATGGCTGCAATCAGGGGACATTGCAGGATAGCTCTCCCCTGCGGGCTCACTGTCCCCAGTGGCCACTCTCCTATCATGTCCCTCTGAACAGCAGCCCCTCACTTGGCATATTATGGAAGACTGTCCTTTTCCCTTGGCTTCTGGTTGTCCTGGCACAGCCAAACTATGACCTTGCTGTAAGTTAGGAGAAGAAGCAGCTGCATATCAAATTAGGTGGCCCTACCTTTTAGGAGGAGTTCTTGAACAAAAGGACTCGCAGACAGACACTGTCTAAAATATATAGGGGGATTTCTTGCTTTTTTCATACTTTTCATTAGAATACTATATTGCTCTTCGAGGCAGGGGCAGATTGTTGAATGATTAGGTGGTAATTAGGAGATCTGGGTACAATTCTGTTCTTCCAGATTACCTGTGTGACTTTCTTGAGCAAGTCTTTTAATCTCTCTCTGTCCCAGTCCCAGTTTCCAATTTATAACACAAAGGTAGTAATACTTCCCTTCCGCTCTGAGTTAGTGAGAATAAATGCTTGAAAGATTGTGCAGAATCACATAAGTATCTTTGATTTAACACAGCTGAAAAGTTTCAGGACACTCCGGATCCCTTGGTGTTGGTAGAGTAATGCTTTACTGATAGATGGACAGAGGCAAAGCCTAATGAATGAGTGTAATGTAAAGACCCTGAATTTATGAAAGAACTAGAACATTTATCCAGCATTGCTTGTGTCCATAACACAGTTTTTTAGAAAATAAAATGAAAGTGCACCTGCTTCATTGAATCATTGCTCTGTGGTGGGGCTGGAGATGAGGGATTCAGTATGCAGGTTGTCCCAGGAAGAGAGGACTACCCCAGCTCTCTCTCACTGCAACTGCTTGGGGCCAGATATGAAGTTCCTCTCCGTGGCTGCTGCAGCTCCAACAGGCACAGCTGTGGGTGGGGTGCATGTATCCTGGGTGGGATGGCCATGTCCAGGTTTGTCTGCCCCCTGAACTCTCCCCAGTCAGTGACGAATGCAAAAAACTACGCACTTTTCCTCAATCCCTGACAAAGGGGAACAGCCAGCAATGTTCTCGTATAAATGAAGTCGAGGGGCTAGCCCTCCTTAAAGGGTGCCTGGGGAATAGCAGGTTCAGGGCTGGGGCAGACCTGGACGGTGAGGGCGGGGTATCCCCAGCCATTCCCTTTAACCTGCCTGGTGATTCTGTCTCTTACCTGTATGGTTTTGTGAGAAGCAGTCCCATTCCAGACACATTCCATTTTCCTGGTACAACCAAACCCTTACCTTGCTTTGTTATAATAAGACGAAGCTATATACTGACTTTGGTGGTCCTAGTTTTTACCATTTAGGAGTTCTTGAACAAACATGCAAACTCTCTCAAACATATAGTAGATCAATCCCATTATGAGGGTGTTAAAATAGTAACACTGTTCTGCTGTGGTTGGCCTGAAATAAGAGTTGATATAACACTACTGTTACACTTTTCAAGCAATTTTGCGTTCTTGTTGCTTAAAAACAAAATTGTATTGTTTTTGAGGTAACCTTCAGGATGGGCAAATTGAGAATATAATGTATATGTTCTGGCTTGATTCTAATTTCAGGATCAATCCAATCATCGTCATTATTGATGTGTGTGTCCACCTTTTGTTGCTGATGGAGTTGAGTTAGCAGTAGCAACTGTGGAAAATTTTAAACTAAAAAAAGCCTCATCTAGACACAGCAAAAGGGGGAAGTTTGCTTTACTTTATGTGAACACTGACTTCTAAATTATTTGGAAAGGAGCAGATTCAGGAAATTTAAGTAGCAGCTTTGAGTAAAGTGGAGTTGCTAGTAACCTCTATATTTAGATTGCCTAACACTACCTATTACAAAATATTCTTGCACTCTTAAAACTTTTGTTTGCCACATGCCTTTGCAACCTGAATAACTTGTTAATAGTTTATTTGTATGTAATTACATATATGTAGTCCTGAATATCAGTCTCTTGAACAATTTAGGTATTCCTCCCTTGTGAATACTAAATTATTCTAAAAATCCTAGTTCTCAAAGGTTTGAATTATATTAATTGCTTTGTCACAAGCATGACGTTCAATAATTCATGTGTCTGGCACTAGTAAAACACCCATAATTTCTTAAAAATTATGAGTGATTTTCTAACACAGCAGGTACTTTCCCTCAATTTGAGAGAACTATTTTGGACCTCCTTATGAAGATAAAGATTAATTCATCACTGGATTGGAAGTCAGTGTTAATGTAGGGACCATCATCAGACCCAAATTATATTCAAAATAGACAACACTTCTACCCAATAAAATATAGAATTGCTTCTTCAAAAGGGTCAATATTCCAAAGCTAGGAAAATGTATTAGGAGAAAAATTTTAGACAGAAAAATGTAAATAAAAATGGAGGGTTCTTAAGTAGACTTTATTACATTAAAGTTATAATCAGTAGAGAAGAAAGTCAACTTAATTTCAAAGTCCATCATGGTTAAGTGGTAAGAGAAATAATATACATATACATCATCACACATATAATCATACACAAAAACAAATAAGAAATTAGGTACAAATATTTAACAATGAAGGTGATTAACTAGCAAGAGATGGGGTGGATTCTCCATTTCTTGATGCCCTCAAAGCAAGTTGGGTATTTCTCTGTATGCACAAACACTATTTACCTTCTTCAGCAAAATTATTGTATTTAACCCTTGGGTAAAATACATAAAATTGTACTGCATAGCCCATAGTGTTTACTTATGATTGTTTCTGCCAGAGCTTTATAACTTAATATTTATATCTACAGGTTCCTGGTTTACAAAGATCCCATTTTGTAAGGTCAAATGTTGCACCTAAACTCAAGCCACTGATGCCAGCTAAAGTCAGTGGGTTAAGCAAGAAACTATCAAGTGCACAGAAAAAAAATCATCACAATGCTGAAAATAAGCCAGGACTGCAAGTCACAATCAGTGATCTCTGGAAAAACTTCCAGTTTAGAAGGTGCGTTGCTTTAAGTCTTTATTATAAAAGTTGATTTTTCTCCCCACATGTCCCCTGGTTCTCTTCCTAGTCCCTTTGAAACTGAGGAAAAATAACAGCATTTCTCTACTCGCCATATGTCCTGAAGCTGTGAGAAGGTTTTGGGGGTGGGAATTGGGGAGAATTGGATCACTGTCTGTGTAGGCACACAAAGGAAAAAAATTCCCACTTGTCTCTACAGAAATGAAAAATTTCCTCTTTTTTTCCTAATATCCGTGTTGAGCGTAGTGTGCACAAACCAATTAATATGAAACATATTAGTATAATTTAGAAATCAGATTCTCATAGTGTGCACGATACCACACTATATAGATGAGCCTAAAACCTCCTGGCTTTAAGTTCTGTCCCTCTTGCAAGGTGGGAATACATGTAAACGACTGGGTACGCAATGCCTTTTTGTTTAGAGAAAGTATAGATCCCTGACAAGTATGTGATATGCAAGTCTTTTTTTGAAAAGCTAGTGTTTGAAAAATGCATGGATATTCTCCACGGTTGTGGAGATGGCCCATTCACAAAGCTCTCACGGACCCAGCCAAGCACATATGGCATATTCCAGTAATAATTACTTCAACCTCTAAACATTAGACAAGAAGTGCCTTCCAACCTTGTTGAAGCATGTGTACTAGGGATGTCAACATATAGACAACTACATATAAGCTTAAGCCTATTAGTTAATCCTGTCAGCTACACACATTTCTCCCTCACTGCCCCCACCACCCTTACTTCCTCTGTAAAAGAGGCAGCAAGGATGGGGGCAAGAGGTGGTGCCCATAGTGAGGGTAAGGGGGGCAGGTGAGAGCCAATACGCGCAAGGAGCTGGCTTTCAAACCAGTTCTCCATATGCTGGCTCTCTGGACTCACCTATTCCTCCCCCTGAGTCCCCTCCCCCCCAGCTTGCTGTCTCCTACAAAGGTGGGGAGGGCAGGCAGGAATTGATGCTCGGGAGGAGCCGACTTAAAAGCTGGCTCCCCTTGAGCACCAGCTCCGCCTGTCCCCTCCCCGCTGACTCAGAGGCAGCAGCGGGGGTTGGGTGGAGCAGGGGAGGCTGCCGTGGAGCAGTCCCTGTCTGGGCGGGGTCTGAGCTCTCTACAGGCAGGGGCAGCAGGCAGGATCTGGTCTGCACAGGGAGCTTACATCGCAGACTGGCTCCTTCCTGAAACAGAGGCAAGGTGCTCCCCAGTTGTGGGACTGGAGTGCGCTGGCTGCTGACCCCACCCCTGGGGACTATCGAATAGCCGTGTAACTGCTAAAGATGTGTGTGGTTACATGGCTATTCAGTTATACACTATCTAACATCCCTAGTCTGTACATGCACCCTGAACCTGGTTTGCAAGTGGTGTTGGGAACTAGTGAGAGGAAATAGACAACACCAGCTCAGAAATGACACTGAGAGAAAAAGATCTGAAATATCTTGAGTTATTCAGATGTAAAAACTGTCTGCCAGCCTTCCTTTTGAATCACCAAGTCTCAGGTGTTAACGCAATATGACTTCTCAGAACTATTATAAATCCTCCATGTTCAATGACAAACTACCACAGAAGAACAGGGAAGCATTTTAAATCTTTACTTAGGGGGAGGTATTTAGTTACCAGGATAACCCTCCAGGCAGCTCTGGATGCTTCTGATACCATATCTTGAGCCATGACAACATCAGTTGTCATGAGAAGGGCATGCTAGTTAGGAGGCTCCAGTATCCTAAAGAAAGCACAGCATGGAAGATTTCTCTGTGGCCTTTCCATGCAAAAAGACTGAGGCACTTGAGCCACTGAAGGATTCCCATTCTTCTATTCTCTTGGAGTTTATACTACAGTACTGAACAGAAAACTGTGAAGACCTTACACTACTCCAAACAGAAACAATTACTAGTTTTCATGTTCCATCAGAGAATCTCAGAACCCACAAAAAAGAGGTAGCACTTGCTAAAATGGAGACCTTCTGCCGTGGTCTCTGCTTCTTCCTACTCCACAGCTACATCCAAATCATTATTTTGACAGTGAATAACTCAGTAGGGTCTAGCAGGCTTAATGACCCCTCTGCTGAATCCCTGGCAACCTGCTCCTTAGTATACTTAACAGTGAAAACTTTTTGGTAGCAATTATGTTTGCCAGAAGATTGGGGGAAGTACAGGCTCTCTGGGTGGGACCTTCCTATATCTTATTCATTGGGTTAAAGAGTACATCCCAAGTTCTTACTAAAACAAAATACAGGACTATGTAGCACTTTAAAGACTAACAAGATGGTTTATTAGATGATGAGCTTTCGTGGGCCAGACCCACTTCCTCAGATCAAATAGTGGAAGAAAATAGTCACAGCCATATATACCAAAGGATACAATTAAAAAAAATGAACACATATGAAAAGGACAAATCACATTTCAGAACAGAAGGGGGATGCGGGGGGGGGGGGGAGGTGAATGCCTGTGAGTTAATGATATTAGAAGTGGGGAAGGGTAGATGTCTGTGAGTTAATAGTACTAGAGGTGATAATTGGGGAAGCGATCTTTGTAATGGGTAAGATAGCTGGGGTCTTTGTTCAGCCCCCTGCGGAGAGTGTCGAATTTTAGCATGAATGCCAGTTCAGAGGATTCCCTTTCAAGTGCAGACTTGAGTGTCTTCTGAAGTAGGATGCAGGTGAGTAGGTCATTGAGACAGTGTCCTTTCTGGTTGAAATGGCAAGCAACTGTTTTTTCTTTGTGATCCTGTCTAATGTCTGTTTTGTGGGCATTGCTTCTTTGGCGAAGTGTCTGAGACGTTTGTCAAATGTACATAGCAGACTGACACTTTCGGCACATGATAGCATAGATTATATTTCTGGAGGCGCAGGAAGACATTCAAATCAAACAAAGACCCCAGCTATCTTACCCATTACAAAGATAGCTTCCCCAATTATCACCTCTAATACTATTAACTCACAGACATCTACCCTTCCCCACTTCTAATATCATTAACTCACAGGCATTCACCTTCCTTCCCCCCCGCCCTGCATCCTCCTTCTGTTCTGAAATGTGATTTGTCCTTTTCATATGTGTTCATTTTTTTAAATTGTATCCTTTGGTATATATGGCTGTGACTATTTTCTTCCACTATTTGATCTGAGGAAGTGGGTCTGGCCCACAAAAGCTCATCACCATCTTGTTAGTCTTTAAAGTGCTACATAGTCCTGTATTTTGTTTCAGCTACACCAGACTAACACGGTTACATTTCTATCACAAGTTCTTACTAGGAGTTTTTATGGACTTCCATTTAAACCAACTGCCAATATTCTTCCCTACGACAGTCTAATAAAGGAGGGACTAGGCTTTATACTCCTAGGGCATGTTCGTAGGCCCTATCCTTTAACTTGCAGAGACCCAAATCCTTTCGATCTAAGTTATTTGTAGCATTTGCCAGTAGAATGAGGGGTCTGGCAACATCAGCTCAGAGACTGAGTGGGTTTGGAGTTCTGGTACAAATTAGTTAGTTTAGATGCCCCAGTTCAGATTAGGGCTCACTCCAACCAGGCCTAGGCACTGTCTGCAGCCTCCTTGCAAAGCATACTCATAAAATAGACTCAGAAGGTATACCACTTTCACACCAGGTCACTGCTGGTGAATCCCCGAGTGTGTAATACATTTGTACAAGCATTCAAAGAAAAAAAGCTACTTTCATTACAATAAATGGAGTTATTTGACATATGTCTCTATGAATTCCATTACCTTCCCTCCTCTTTCACTAGTATAGAGGTATTTAACTGGATTCTGTTTTGGTGAAGGAACTGAGTGGCAGGTAGGCCATCTTCATACTTGATGTCCTTGGTACTGGAACACAAGGACAGCTAAGGCGGATGAACCCATTGCTGGCCAAAAGACTTTGAATCTGAAGCGAACAAATATATGCCACTCTTGGTGTCCATGCACATAGCCGTGTTGTCAAAGAACTCTAGTTACTGAAGTAACTTGCCCAGTGTACTCAGCAAGTCAGTGGCAGAACTGGGATAAAACTCTGGGCTCCCTGAGTTTGCCTCTTTCTTCATGTTTGCACGCATTATAGTTCTGTGATTAGAAAATGAAACGTGTAATTGTACATGGTTTTGTCTTTTTTGCAGAGACTCTGAAAAGCTCCCTTCTTGTAAAAAGTCATCAGACCCATTATCTCCAATCAAAGATAATATTCAGCTCACTCCAGAAACAGAAGAGGAAATCTTTAATCAACTTGAGTATAGTCATGTTCAGAGAGCAATATTTCAGTGAACTGATGTATTTTGCTTATGCAGCTCTCTGTTGCATGATGGGATACATTTTAATCATTGCACACACATTGGAGGACAAGGCAAGATGAAATGTTTCTGGACATTGTATACCAATATAAAAATAGACTATTTTGGATGTGAGCTGTATATTTGTCTGATATATAAATTTTGTCATCTTTTATATAAAGTGAAATGAAAGGTACAGTTTTATACTGACTAAAATAAAACCTTTTGAATATTAATTGATTTTTCTTATTTAAATGGCAGTAGGAAATTTCTGTTCAAACTAATGTTTAAAAACTGTCCTTAAGCATTTTAATTTGAAATTGTAAGTGTAACTTTATTCTAGATCTAAACGTCTGAAAGCATGTGTTGTGCCTCTTAGTGGAAACACCAGAGACCGTTCAGGTTTGCCCCAAGGGCTAGAGTTAATCTCATTCCTTCTCCCCATCTGTCAGATCTTCTGCTCCAGGAGTGCAAGCAAAGCAGAACTTGAGTAATTCCAATTCACATCACTCTTTTTCCAGCTACTTCCAGCTACAGCAATTTTCAGGCAACAGCAACCAAAGTAGTTTGCTCCTAACCAGAACCACTTCTCTGTTGTTACCTCTCTTCCCCTCAGAGAAAAGAGTAGGGAATGCAAGAATGGTGTTCTATCCGAGGATCTCACAGGAACATCACAACTGCACTTTGACCTGCAGCGGGATGGGGGGGGAAATGTTCCTAAAGTTTTAGGATTTGAAACACAGGGGCTGTATCTACATGGCATCCCTTTCTGGAAAGGGATGCTAATGAGACACTTCGGAATTGCAAATCCGCGGGGGATTTAAATATCCCCTGTGGCATTTGCATTTACATGGTTGCCGCTTTTTTCCGACTCAGGGGTTTATGCCGGAGAAAAGCGCCAGTCTAGACGCGATTCTCCGGAAAATAAGCCCTTGAAAGTAGGAATAAGGAATCCTCCGGAAAAGGGCTTATTTTCCGGAGAATCGCGTCTAGACTGGCGCTTTTCTCCGGCATAAACCCCTGAGTCGGAAAAAAGCGGCAACCATGTAAATGCAAATGCCACAGGGGATATTTAAATCCCCCGCGGATTTGCAATTCCGAAGTGTCTCATTAGCATCCCTTTCCAGAAAGGGATGCCATGTAGATACAGCCCCTGTGTTTCAAACTTGACTCTTTATTTATTGTTGTGGAGACTTTTGAGAAACTGAGCTTCTCAGTCATGGAGTTAATTTCACTCTGTATGACACAAGTTCCACGTGGTGTGTTTGTTGTATTGGACCACGCTAACTAATCATCAATAACCTACTTGCAAATGAATATGAATTAAAAAAAAATCCTGGCCTGAGGAGCTAATCTCTTAAATTAAGCTGATTAAATACCTCAGTGGGTGGAGGGAAATAAAATGCAAAAAAGAGAGCAGACTCTTTTGTTCTCTATAGGTTTTGTACCACACTTATCAAAATAGTGTTTGAGCAGTAGTTTATTAAATTGTGTAGTAACACATCTGTCACATGTTTGTTCTCTCATCCTCTCAAAGGGAGAAATGTGCAGAGGAATGTCTAGTTTTGGTAGGTTTTAGGGAGGATAGGCTTAGGGAAAAAGTACTTATGTTTTTCTATTAGAGAAGTCAAGGACAAAAAAATGTGCCTTAGGTTTAGAGCAGAAGTTGACAAGGTTCGTGATGATTCGGAAAGATCTGAGGCCTTTTTCTGCAGCCATATTATAATAATGTTAAGAAAGAGATCCTATCCTAATAGTACTGTAACATCTGATTACTGTATCACCCTGTACATCACGGTTGCTATCACTGTTACATAATTGCAACTAATCTTATGCAAAGTGTGACACCATAACCAGAAAAAGGTTAAGCAGCTTGTAGGATAAATGATCCAGAGTTAGCCTTTAAAGGTATGTAAGAGAAATATGCAAATGGTACTTGGGGACATTCAGTGGGAGGTAGGCTAGAACTTTGAAATTCAAATCTAAATTGTTAGACATTTGAGGTAATATTAATTGTATGTTTGTGCTCATCTTGCTTGATGCTAGCCAATTCCTGTCTGTCATTATAGCTATTGATTCAGAGATAAAAATGAGATGTTCACATTTAGATGAACAGTAAACATAGTAACATCACTGTTTTCACCTCTTTGAATTGTATACCAGATTACTGGAGAGTGATGGAAAATGAGCAAATGTCTTGTGTTAATCCATCTAGCTGATTACTAGGGTGGGGGGAAGGTGGAGGAGGAATGTTTGGGAATAGAAGGTTACTTCAAAGCCTATTGATCACCCAGGACTTGCAGGGTCAAGAGGCTGCTTGAAAACTGAATAAAAGACTCAGGGTTCTGATTCTGTTTCTTGAATCTGCTTGATGCTTCATGCAGGGGAAACTTAAACCACAAGGCTGAGATCTCCAGGTCTGCCTCAAGTTCAACCTGCATATGGACATTGGACTATAACGTAATTCTGAAAGAACTTTGCAACTACAAAGTTCATCTTTCTCATGAATCTGATCTCAAACTGTACTCATGTTTGTATATATACTGGTCTTTTAACCAGTAATTTCTCCTTTTTTAATAAATCCTATTCTAGTTAATAAGAATTGGTGTAAGCATGCATTTGGGTAGGATCTGGAAAAACCATTTATTTGGGAAGTATTATGTCCTAATCTTTTGGAATTGGTAGAAGTTTCTTGTATGATTAGATTTTCAGTCATCCCCATCATATTTGTCCTGGGTGTCTGGGTGGAATCCTAAGGCTGAATTGTTTTAAGGGAAATATGTTTTGGGCTGCTTGGTAACCAGTAAAATGTTATAGAAGTTGTTTTGTGCTGGTTTCGTAAATCTAACTATTGGAATATTCACCAGCTTTGGGGATCGTTTGCCCCATTTTTTGACGTTTACCTTAGTTGAGTAACTCCATTGTGGCTTCTTTGGGGTTCTGGGTCACAAGTATCCACTGTCACCAGATAAGAAACCGATCTTAAGTGTTCAAAGAAAACTTGGTTTAACAGCACACAAGCATTTAGTAGTTGTGTAAAATCTCAACTAATTCATTGTTCTTCTTTGGGGATGTCCCCGCAGGTGCTCCACTATGGGTGCTGGGCTTGCCCCGGCGCCGCAGACGGAGACTTGTCATTAGCAGCGTCTGGCCGGACCATGCATGTGCCGCAGGCTCGCGGCGTTCGCGCTCTTTCTGTCGCGCGGTCCGGCCCCTCCGCCAGTTCCTCTTCACCGCCTAGGCTGCAGACGCCTGTAACCGCGCTCCTCTCTCCACAGAACTAGACTGCTTCTAGTTCTCTCTTTGTATATATAAAATTTCCCTTTCCTCCCTCTCCCCTCTCCTCCCCATAAAGTTTAAAAACAAATTCTTTCAAGAGAGGCAGGACAAAGACTATCGGGAGTGAAAGCGGAGACCGCTCTTACCTCCCGCCTCTCAGCTGTTCTCTTGACAGCTTCTCTGTATATAGCTCCATTCACCTTTTAAAAAAAAAAAAAAAAAAGACAGACAGACTGTTAAGATAACAAGAACAAAGATAGCTGGCCAGAGCCATTACCAGGCTATCATCCTTAACAACTACCAACTAAAGATAATAAGCAGCGGGCTGCCCGCAAATGTCAGCTACCGGCATTAAAAAATGCAGCTCCTGCAGGGAGGCAATGCCAGCCTCTGACAGCCATGCGGACTGTATTCGTTGCCTGGGGGAGTCTCACATCCCCCAAAAGGCTCACCATTGCTTAAGGCTCACCTCCAGAGCCGGGAAAGACAGGGAGAGGCGCCTCCGTATGCTCCTCTTCGATACAGCCCTGCAACCGCAGCAAGCTGACTTCAATCAGCAGCCTCTTAAGCGCCAGGCTTCCTCCCCTACTGCGGGACGTCAGAAAACAATGACATTGTCCCCAGCAAGATCCCGCCAGCTGCCTTTAATGGCAGGGACAGCCAGGCACAGACACCGGGGACCTCTGGCATTCCAAAGCTATGTCCCCCTGCCTCAGCGGCTTCAAAGTCTAAGCGGCCACGGGAGCCTGCAAAGACGCCGGCTCCCCAGCTGGCATCACTTCAGCCCCTCCCTCCTCCGGCGCCGAGCATTGAACCGGCGCCACGAGCAGCCCCGGACCCGACCATGGCACCGGCCCCGGCACTGCCTTCAAGTCACCGCGCGGTGCCGAACTACACGGCGCCGACCCGTTCTGGGGCCGGCACGGTGCTGATCACTCCTGCCCCGCCGCACCAGGAGCTGAGTAATTCAGCGGCTAAACCCTCCGCCCCGGG